TCATGATTTGTGATTATATTTTCTACATGTTGATTGTTAATATAAGATTATGGTTGAGATTTCCTCCCCATCCACAGTGTTAGGACTCATAATGATGTACATTTAATGAACTTGAGTCTAAAAGAATGTCAGATTGCCTAGAAAGTGGCTATATAAAACAGGAGTGTGTAACATGGTGATGTTCACTAATATATCAGTATCAAGTTTGCAAAAGTAAAGCTCCATGTTAAAAAGAAATGAAACATTGCAGGTGACATATTAAGTTCTTCATTTTCAGGTATGAATGGACACATGGAATTTGCCCCCGCATGACAGATGTTGTGTCAGGAAAGAATGGAATTGCAGGACTGCATCTTTGTCCTCGTCAGGAACGCATATCTTTTACCTTTAGAAAAGTTAGGGAAGGAGAATGCAATTGTGGTAACAGAAGAGTATGTGACTCAGCCATACAAAATTCAGGCTGTAAGTGTTTTTACAGTTAGCAACATAATCTGTCACATGCGAAACCAGTTTTTTTCCTTGACTGATGATTATAAGATAAACACAGGTATAAAAACCTTGTTACCAAAATGATTTAATTGCAGATGACCCAAACAAAGGTGCTGCTTCGTCTGATTCCATCTCTGATGATATTCAAGCCATGAGACTAGAGCAACAGCATGTCCTGCAAGTATATGATCAAATTGCTGGACATTTTAGTGCAACGCGATACAAGCCATGGCCAAACGTGTTGGAGGTTAGTGTTGAGTCTAATTTGTTTTCTATTGTTTTGATATTCTTGCAGTTATCTACAGTATATATAGAAACAATTGTAGAATAAAGGTATTTGATTTTATAAATATTATGTAAAGGTCTCAAAGGTGATTGAAATATCAATTCTAGTAGAATACTATACCAAACATAGTTATATAGGTATTAAACTATACCATTAGTTAGGACACTAATGGCTCACAGTACTGAAATCATATTGAATGCTTATTTAGTTTTGAAGTGATGGGCTAACTAAAAGGATACTGGATTTTATGCACAAAGTGAATCATGGATAATGTTACATACTATTGTGTTTTGTGTCTAAAATATATAGAATTGTTTTTATTGTTTTTCATTTTTTCAGTTTGTAAACTCATTACCATTAGGAGCTGCACTGTTAGATGTTGGTTGTGGAAATGGCAAGTATCTCGGGCACAACGAGAAAATATTTCAGGTATTGTTTTTTGTATTCATGTATTCTAATACTGAAACTTTCATTGACATTGTGTCTTTTTGCACTATTTGTTTTTTTTTTCTAAGGAAAAAACTAAAGGAAAATTAAATTGTTGGCAAATATTTATTAATGGTAACATTCCTACAGATGGGATGTGACACCAGCTATGAATTAGTCAAGATTTGCAACACTCGTGGATTCGAAGTCTTGACCTCCAATTGCCTGCAGTTACCTTTTAGAGATTCTACCTTTGATGCTGTTATATGTATAGCAGTTATACACCACCTCGCAAGTGAGGTACGTACTTGAATATCTCAACGTATATTACTACTGCAAATCCTTTAGCTGATGGACAAGAAACTATATGATTAATACAAAGTGTAATGATGAGCTTTTGTTACAGGAGCGTCGACTGGCATCCCTAAAGGAAATGGCACGCGTCCTTAGAATAGGTGGCCAAGGTCTGGTGTATGTATGGGCAATGGAACAACAGAGAGGAAAAAAGAAATCTGCTTACCTCAAACAGAATAAAGCTAACCGGAAGGATGAAGGGCATGGAGAATATGTGGGTGCAAATGCTACTAGTGATATGGACACAGAGAGTGGAAAAAGTGACAGTTTCTCTTCAGGACTTAAAAAGGAGGTAATGCAGGAGTCACCAAAATCTCAGGTATTACAGGATGCGCCACTTCCTGTCCATGTCAACCGCACAGAATTTGTTCAGCAGGACATGTTAGTGCCTTGGAAGCTTAAACCACAGATAAAGAAAGATACCAAAGAAAAGGGAAAAAACAAGAAATCTGATAGTAGCAGCAACAATATATCAGATAATGATAAGTCAAGTATAGTTTGTGATAATCAACAACCCAAACAAGTTGAAAGTAAACAAGGAAATTCAAGTACGGCAGCATCTGTCTTATGTGATACAACAGTGGAAGGTCAGGAGCCTGTTTTCCATAGGTATTACCATGTCTTTAAACAGGGAGAACTTGAAGCTTTGTGTGGCAAACTGGAAGGGTTAAAAGTTGTAAAGTCTTATTATGATGAAGGAAACTGGTGTGTCATTTTTGAGAAATCTGGTTGAGAATTGTGATAATAAAAAGAAATTAGAGCAAAAGAAACATTGTTTCTTAAATATTTCTATTTGTAATTTGGAATTTGGCCAGCATAACTAGGGAAAAGAAGTATTAGTCCTTGATTTTTAAAAATTATATATGATTTTTAACACAAAATTTTCTATATGCAAGGAAATATTTAAATAGATGGACATACTTTATCAACTCTTGTGCATTTCACTTTTGTTTAGAAAAGAAAGTTTATGAGAACAGGGATGGTTGTTGTTTTATTTTCCATGCATTGTTAAACTATTGTATTACCTCAGCTACTTTGCAAACTACAGCTTTCAGAACCACTGGTGAGACATCCAATGTGGATGAAAGATTATCAATATCATTTTAAATACAGGTGTGTAGGTCCTCCTGTGCTAGGGATATGAGTGTAAATATTTATTTTATTTTATTTTATTTTTTATTCATCATAGAAATAAACACAACAAACAGTCATAGAGAAGATAGTAATATACTTGTAAACATATTGTGAAGTCAGTAGTCTGCACTGTTAATTTCAGTTTTTAATTATTCATTTTTGTAGTCATCATTTAACGGATGTCAAAACAAAGGTTACCCATATGAGATCCATAATTAAGTTTTTCTATCAGTTAAAAGAAACAAAATTATTTCAGCTGTACTTGAAAAATATTGTTTGCACAGTTATTTATCACCTTTTTTCTACCTCTTAACTCATTTTTTCTAGCTAATTGATGCTTCTTCATCATTCACCTCCTCAAAGTGGGTTAAAAGCCATCTGCAATGAGTAACTTAGTGTTATTCTGTTGTTTTGCACTTCAGTTATATGTATACCTCCATCAATAAAAAACTGAACCTCACTTGCAGGCATTTTAAAAGGTTAGATGCCATGAAATCTAAAAAAAGAAAGTTCAGTTATAGTAATAAAAAATAATAAATGCTTAAATTATGGTCTCCATGAAAAGGTGTATCAAGAAAAGAATCTTTAATGAAAAGTTTACATATGTACTGTTTGAATGAGCAAGTAATTAAGGGCCTCAAAATTCTCACTGATATACTAGTAACTAAGAGTAGTAAAAGGATCGTGTACTTATGCTGCATTGAAAAAAATGCACAACCAATGTAGGATGCAGGATGTAAACTGAAAAAAAAATCGTGTGCTTTATGCCACACTGAAAAAGTGCAAAAACCAATGCAGGATTTAGTATGTAAACTGATAAAAGTAACTGAATACACCTACACGTAAATCGTTGCAATGACGACACTCACGCTGGCCAGCACGAGGAAGACGGTTCCGGGGAAGACCTCGAGAGTGCTGTTGTAGACGGCGGTGTAGACGGGGCTGACGGCGAGGGGAAGGAGCGCCTCGCCAATCCCGATCACGGAGAAGACGGCGCCCATTTCGTGCTGCGCAGCCAGTTTCGAGAGTGCCCCGCGAGAGCACGAAATGCCGGAGTCTTTGCAACCCGACACCACCACCGCTGAGAACACGGTACAGCATCCCTTATTGTTTTGGGTAGCTGTGATGGGTCTAAATAAGTGTGTCTATGTCTTCATGCGTCTTCATTTACTGAAACATGTTCTTCACAACTTATTATCATATGTAGTTATATAGCGAATCATGTGATGTATATATACCCAAGTAGAATACCCAAGATGCAGGAGCTGTGCCCATTAGGACGCCATAAAATAGTTGTGAGACAGAGGCAATGAAGGACAGCATGGTATCTCTCATGCCAAGACGGTAGCTCAGGATAGGCACCACTACGCAAGCCGCTGAGGTAAAGCAATATTTGATTATTTCTCTTGCACACGATTTCCCATTAAGGCCGTTGCCAATAAAGGAAGTCCAAGAAATGTAAGAACTATAACAGTTCTTGCGAGGGTGATCAAATCCATCACTGGTTGCTGATACGAAGAAAAATGGATATAATTTATGTGCACCGCATTTGTCTTCGAAGTATTACGTTGAATGGCAAATTTTTGAAAGCAGGAAGACATTATCAGATTCAAAGAAAAGGAGAACAAAGTTTTACAAGATAGGAACACTAAATTACTTTAATGACCTTAATAGTCAGAAAAAGTGTAAAATGATAATATACAGGGGAAACGTATATATACACATCTAGAGATGTCTTACCTATGATGGAAATTGGAGTTCTGAATATGCTCCACACTGTAAAGTTGAAATAATTCCAATCAAACTTCTTCCGGGTGTACAGGAACAAAAAGGAGAAGTCGTCATCTGAAAAAACAACGAAAATTATACAACTGGGAACTCCTTTTTATCGTAATTTGATGTATGCTTTTTAAGGATCATTAGATTTTAATTAGAACTACCTACATATTTTACTATCATTCATAAGTACTCTGTGAACTAGCGAACACAAATGCTATTCGTGAGAAAAGAGTATAATATAGAAACCGATTTGAAGCAGATGAAAGAAGAGCTTACCGGCAGACATCATGAAGAGAGAAATGCAGACAATATGGCCAAGGATCTGCGGTCGCCCTCCGCTCTCCCGTCTTCTAAACACCACTCGGAATGGCGTCTTGATCGTCTCCAAAGACAAAATTTTCTTCCTCTCTTGTTCCCCCGCGCGGCCAGGTGGTTTATCGTCGAACCTGGCCACAACATAGACAGCGGAGAGGGCCGAGATGACGACTTCTATCCCGAAGACCAGCGTGTAGCCACTGGCCTGGTAGAGCGC